CCCGCGCCGCCTCCTCACCGCTCCCAAACTCCATCACGGAGCCTCAGCTTCAACGCTCACTTTGCAGTCTGCGCGGCGGCCGGCAGGTTCTGCGCAAGCGCTCGGCGCCCTGGTGCACCCGCATCTACCGCCCGGCGCGGAAACGCGCCTCGCTCTGCGAGGGCTAAAGGAACTACTGCTCCGCGGGCGGTGCAGTTTGAGGCTACTGGGGCGCAACGCGCGTGCGCACTCGGTCACAAGAGGGAACGGAACGTTAGTGCGCGACCCGCCGGGGACGCTGACAGCGGGAGCGCGCGACGCCTGACCCTGCGCGCGCCGGGTCGGAGAGGTTGGACGAACTCAGTCGCCGGGTCCTTGTTCTGTCACAGACGTGCGGGCCTGCGTTCTTCCAAGCTGACGGTTCACAGTGAGCAGCATGTCACGGAATCTGCGGGAAGCGATGAAGTTCTTGACCAGAACTCCGGGCTTTGATAGAGTTTGGGAAAAGGTATTGAAGCTGAAGCTTCTAACGAAGGGAAAGAAAGTTCCGTGCGTGGTGCGCGCTGCACGCTGAACGAAATGTCAGTGTCTGCTCGAGTGCTCTGTGCATCCACTTTAGGAAGGATCGCTGCTTTGATACAGCACCTCTCAGGTGCCGGGTCGCGTGCGTAGATTCTCTCGTATATGTGCAGATAAGTGTCGTTGCCTTTCGTGGAAAAAGAATTCCGTCTTTCAATGAGCACGCGTCTGTAGAATCCCGGAGAAAAAGGAAGAGGCAGCCTGCACATCTGCGTTATGGGCGCTGCCCTTGTTAGCAGAGAACAGTTATTTATTTGCTGTAGGTTCCGAAAGCCAAGTGCTAGGTAGAGTGGTGAGAAAAAGAGGAGGTGGTTCCTCTGGGTGGTTTGGAGATTTTACAGAGGCACTCAGATCTTGGAGAGGTAAGTTTGCCCTTGGAGGAAGACGGAGTGCATTTCGGAGAACAGCACTTGTAAGATCTAGAGACATTTGAAAGAGTAGCGAGATAAAGTGCTACAAGTTATGCAGGGTCGGTCTCTACCCTCCTTCACATGAACAAACTAACCCAAACTCCTAGTTTTCGACTTCCATGGGAAGCACTTATGACTAAGCATGAAATACAAAAGCGCATGGTAATGTCAGAGCTGAAAGATTTGGGTTTTCAGTGTTTTTTTCTAAATGTCTTAATGTGTGCATTTCTTTCTGATTAGGATGGTATACTCGGAAATTTGGAAGTAATTTGGAAGAGGCTTTTAAATACTGATAAGTTGCAGTTTATGGGTCTTTTCCTGGAACAGAACTCTTGGGATGTATTGTGACAATGTAAAGAATAACTGTACCGGGCCAGGGATTTAGCTCAGCGGTGCCGCTGCCTGCCTTGCAAATGCAAGGTCCGGAGTCCAATCCCTGTCCCTGGTGCCAAAATAATAATAATAATAACAACAACAACAATAATAATAACTGTACTGATAATTCAGCTTTTATGAAAAACTGAATAATACTTAGACAAATGTATTTAATGTTTTCAAATAGGAAATGCCATGAAATCCAAGGACATATTATTTGACAGTAGCTTTTGGAAAGATGATTATTCCAAAAAAAGTGTACTGGTATAAGAGGAAATGAATTCCTTTAAAAATCTGTTGCTGAGTGAGGGGTGGTCATGTGGAACTGTAATCCCAGCACTTACAGGTTGAGGCAAGAGGACCACTGAGTTACAGGCCAGCCTAGGCTACATAGCAAGGCTCTGTCTTAAAAAAAAAAAGAAAGAAAAGAAGGGCCAGGGATTTTAGTTCTCGTTCTGCCACCTACCTCCCAAGCACAAGGAATCGAGTTCAATCCCTCGTACCTCCCTGCAAAAAATGAAAAATCTGTAGCTGAGCTGGGGCACAAGGTCTATGGTAGAACACTTGCCTGCAACATATCAGGCCTGCGTTCAGTCCCAACCACTGGGGGGAAAATGTACCCATTTTCCTTCTTAAGCTTTTAGCAACTTGTTGGGTGTGAATACTATTTCAATAATCTTGTCATTTAGATTGCCTTTAAGTATCTCATATCTTGAACAGACACACTGGAACAGTCTTACTGTCTTAACTGTCTAAAGGGAAAGGACAATGGCCAGACACAACATGCTTTACTAATCTAAACTTATTTTGGGGGTTTTTGTTTTGTTTTGTTTTGGGGCAGGGTCTTGCTATTGTAAGACCTAAAGTCTCACTTCCACTCTGAGGAGCGTGTGTGAACAGCCTAAAGGGCCTTCATGATGCTGAGTCCTATAGCCCAACGATGGCTCCGGATGCAAGACCCAGGGCCTTACTTCCGGGAGCCTTGAACAGCCCAAAGGGCCTCCAAGATGCTGGGACCTATAGCTCAGCAAGGCTCTGGGAGCTCAATGAGCAGCGAGAGTCACCCAGGAAGGAACACACCAGGCTCGTTGGTAAATAGACCTTTATTAGTCTGGCCAGACAGCACTCTCAGAACTGAGTAGCTCAGAGAGGCCCAGCCCAGGGGTTAGCACAGTTTTTTAAACGCAAGGGAAGAGGACTGCAGGCACAGCAAGTGGGCCAGGGGTCATGGGGTTGGTTTTCTGCCACCTAGCTAAAGGAGTCAGCTATACGGTACACCTGGCCTTTCATCTCCAGAGCTCAGGCGGTTCTGTTCTAATGAGGCCTTGAGTTGCTATCTTGTTTACCTGTACCGGGCTTTGGTACACTGTTTTGATCTTATCTTGGAGCTGGGTAGAAAGAAATGTGTGCTGTTATATGCTGGCTAACTAGGGGTTACATAGCAGGGTCCCGCATTTCCCACTGTTTTTAGGTAGAATCAAATCCTTGATTCATCATTTTACTTAAAATTTTTAGCTAAGGGGTCATAGCAATTTGTAAAGGCATCTTTTTAGACAGATAAGTTGGGGATTAGGATCCCCAGAGCACATGAAGGTCACATATCTTAATTCAAAAGCATACTAGCTCATAACAGTTTAACACAATATAAGAGTCCATATCTTGATTGTAGTTTTCATTCTTCAGCCGTGCGTGGACTCACCAGCTTCCAGTGTGGTGAGAGCTGGGCCTTGAGTGCATTGTCTCCTGGAGTCAGAATCTGTAGAATTCTGTTTTACTCTAGAGTGGCGGTAGCTGAGCTTTAGCTACCTTGGCAGCTGTGGGAATAACCATAAGAGCCTCATATGGCCCTTTCCATATAGGTCCTAAAGGGGTCTTTTTTTTTTTTTTTAATAAACTCAGTCCTGCAGTTTTATCAGATAGGCAAGAGTTAGCACAGGAAGGTCTTCTTTATTTTTAATTTACCCTTGAATATTTTGAAATACTTGCCCAGTTTTAACAGCTGTGATTCCATACTGGATAAGCCCAGTTGAGATAATTTTATAAAGTCTCTCAAGATACAGGGTGGCCTTTTAAACAAGACCTCATATGGGGAGAACCCAATATGACTTAGGTATCTCTTAATTTTAAAGAAGGCCAAAAGGAGCCAATCAACTTATAACCCAGTGTTATCTGACAATATTTACCTTAATGGTATAATTTATCATTTTTTTAACCTTATAAGAACTCTGAGGTCAATAAGCAGTATAACAGTTTAGCTAGATCTTATACAACCTCTGTTATAAATGCTGGCCCATTGTCATTGCCTATGGAGAGAGGCAGACCAAACCTTGGAATTTTTTTTTTAATAAAATCTTGCATATCTCTGAAGCCGTCTTTGTTTTTATAGGGATGGCCTCAGGCCATCCAGAAAAGTATAAACCCATACTAACACATATTTATAACCTTTATCAGGGGTGGGTATAATCATCTAAAGTTTCTGTTTATTTTTAATAAGTTTGCCCTCTGCTGTGAGAAGACCACGCTTGTATAGACTGTGCCGTAGATATACCAAGTGGCAAATAAGAAAACATTTACCCTCTTTTTTTTTTTTTTTTTTTTTTTTTTTTTGCCCATCAGAGAGCCTATATGAGTGCCGATAGCTCTGCTCACTGAACTGACCATCCAGTGGGGAGGAGTCCTGCTTGGACCACTTCATCTTGAGTCATTTCTGCATAGCCAGCATAGTGTATCACATTTTCCATGAAGCTGCTCTCATCCTTGAACGGGACGAAATCAGCCTCAGGCAGCGGGTCTTTTTGCAGATCTGGATGACTGGAGAACAATTCGTCAGTGACCCTGAGGCAGTCGTGGTCAGGGGGCCAGGTTCCGAGGGCAAAAAGTAGCAGGGTTTAACGTTTTAACTGGAGCAAAATATAGGCAGAAATTCTCACAGATGAGGGCCTGATATTATGTGACTCTATTTGAGAGCCATCAATGTCTTGTTATTTAAAGCACTAAAAGGCATGGGGAAACTGAACAAATTATTTTTTCCTAATGTTACCTGGTCAGCTTCCTGCAGCTTCCAGGGCTCATAAACAAGGGAGCTATCCCCTCACAGCTGGATCCAAACTCTAAGTTAAATATGCTACTGGCTGATTCCATGGGCCTACTCCTTGAGTGAGTACCCTTAAAGCAGTATGATTTTTTTAGTCAAGTACAAACTAAAAGGCTGGGTCACATTTAGGATCCCTGATACAGGGGGCAGCAGAGAGAGTTAGTTTTAGCTGTTTAAATGTTGACTCTTTCTTTTTACCCTAAAATAATCACTGTCTTTTTGGGCCCTTTAAAGATTCATATGTAGAGAGAATCTAGATCCTGTAAAAACCTTTTATCTCAAAAATTCTCTCATCTGCTTTAAATCCTTTTATCTCCAAGCAACATAAACTTTATATCCTGCCTCCTGAAGCAGCATTAATAGTTTTTAATATCCTGTGAAGTTTGTATTTATTTAGTACATCCGAAAATTAAAAATAATCATAATTTTATGTGTGAAACTTCATAACCTTTAATCTAATTAGGTATCAAAGGCATTTTTTTGAGTAGCTGTCCTTTTTACTATAAACAGGAGTCTATCTAGACCTGAGTTTATATTTAATTATCTTGACAAAATTTTAACTTTTATAACCAGGTTATAGAAATTAATATATTATTAGTATCCTTGTTGTCATTTTAATCAAAATATAATTGGACAAACTTTTCAAACAATTGGACACAGACAAACATATAAGACCATTTATTGCTACAGACCGTAGGGCAGCAAACACGGGATTTCACGAGGAGATACAGGTTCTCTGAAAGGTGGGAGCAGGTTCGGCGATGACAGTCAGACAAAAGCACTCAACACCGAGGTGAAGTTTGCAAATGCTGCTGCAAAATTTATTTTTCAAAGAGCTTCTTTTATACAGATTTCTATTTCCTATAGCAAGTCAGGGGCAATGAGCTGATCTCTCTAGGCATCTATTTCCGCTTGCTGAGCTGGCGCCTGCCAAATACATCATTATAGAATACATTGTGAAAAGTTAGCAGGAGTTTAAGCTTTCTTTCCATCTTAGCTGATAATATGCCAGTGGCCATTTTTTCCCCAATGATTCATTGTTTCTCAGAT